CCCTATACCAGGCATATAATATTAAATAAATGAATAAAATGCAGGAATCAGAGGTCTTATTCAGAGGCGCATATGTAGTGGTTAAAAGAACAGACTTTGGAGTCAAACAGACCTTAATTCAATCTCAGCTCTGCTCCTTAAACATAATGACTGTAGACAACTCATCACTCCATCTCAGCCTCTATTTTCCCTTCTATAACGTAAGGAAAAGGGCACCTCATAGAATCTTTGTGTGATGAAATAAGACGTGTATTATAATAGCACAGTGCGGGCAAATGTGAAGTGTTCATTAATGGTAGCTGGTAGGATAACGGTAGGATATGGAATCAGGGAGGACGAGGCAGGCCCACTCCCACCCAACTTTCACCCCAGGAGGAGTGAGTTAAGGTGCCAGTCCCCACGTGGCAGGGTTCACATCTTGTCAAGCTAACGTGGCTGTTTACGTGTGAAAGCTCCCCAACAGAAGCACGAAATTTTAGGGGATTCAGAGGAAGGACAGGGTGGGTGCGTGCAACCCAAATGTCCTCAAGGCAGGCCTTTGGAGTCACCTTTTCCATTTATATCCAATCAGAACAACTCAGTCTCTAGTCCACAGTCTCAGATAAACCCATGCCCTCCTCTGTTTTTACTAGGACTCTGCAAGGGTTTACACCCTCATGATCACCCCTCAGTCTGAATCCCTGCTCTTGCTAAATTCATAAATCATTTGGTCACTCTCTTTCCATGGCTGCAGTCCTCTCTAAACTCCACAGGAACAGGGAAAGGTATTGCTCCCTTTGTCCCCAAACCACCATGAATATCAGGTTTTGTGTATAGGACACATTTGCTGAGTGTCTGGGGGGTACTTTAGGGAAGCTAAGCATCCACAGAATAGGATGTAAATGTAAAACTATTAGGCATCCCTGTTTTAAAATTTTCCTCAGACAGTCCTTCTCCTGGAATTTCTCGCTGAAGTTTTCTTCTCCTCAGGTTGCTGTCTTTCACTTACTAGCCCTCCTCCTTTTTCTCTGGCATTAGCACAGAACATGCCCAAATTCCCATCATTTTCAGCAAATTTAACTCTCTAATGCCTTCCTATCAAGGCCATGCTCAAAGGTGCACCCCGTTCTTTCTGAGCACAAAAGAGCCAGGAAGCCTCTGGAAGGAAATGTGAAATTGCACTTCTGTCTTTAAGTTAGCTTTCCCCCCAATTACATATAGTTGGGAGATAAGAACAGATTCCTCATGAAATAGTGACCTAGGGACAGATCTTGAATCACAAAGAAAGTTCCAGCAGGCTAAGGGGTTGGAGGGTTCTGTGCCTGGGGAAGCAAAGAAACAAGGCTCTGTGGCAGGATCAGGGTTGGGTTTGGGAAACAGTGAGGGGAGCGTCATGAGTGAGAGGCTCCAAGAATGGGAAGATGAAAGGTATAAAAGCTTGTGTTTCAGCATCAAGAGATGAGGCTTGGTTCAAATGATCCTGTGGGCCCATGAAAGGATTTTAAGCACAGAAAGAATAAAGGCAAATTTGAGGTTCAGAAAAAGCACTGAGTAAGGAGAGACCACCGGTCAACTATGGGAATGGCAAGCTTCACACCTTGACAAAGGTGTGGGGGAGTATCGGGCCCTCACACACTGCTAGAGGAGGTGTAAATGGGACAATCATTTTGGAGAAAAGATTGGCAATGTGGGGAAAGAGATGGGGAGCTCCAAGTGCCTGGAGCTACCTATCTGGGACTTTCTGACTGGATAAAAACGCAGGTGTTGGAAATCTGGGAAAACGGAGATAGTTACAGGCTCAAGAAAGCTGATTCTCTTCCCAATCACTGTTCAGTGACATCATGTTAGTAGCTTGAAATTGGCCATGGTGGGGTACTTACACCACAAGAAGCAGCAAATGCTACAAAACAAGACTCCCCCTCCCCTACCCCACCCCCAGAGAGCAGTTTAACAGCAGCTACTGCCTGAGCCAATGCTCATCCAGCAACCCCTTGAGTTCTCTCAGCAATGGCTGCACAGAGATCAGATGTAGGCTTTTACCTAATAAGCCAGGGCTTCGACCTTACATCCCAACAGGAAAGCCCGGGGTTGCTGACCTGGGCTGGGCCTTAGGGAGCCTACTGGACTCCCTGGCCAAAGAGTAGGCAAACCTAAGTGGTCTCCTTCCCATCACCCTATTCCACTTCCTGCTTGATATTCTAAAGAAGTAAAGGCCTGGGTAAGGCAGCTCTTTCCAGCTGTGTGGAAGCAGAGAAAAATGGGGAAATGACAAGGACAGGTAGCTAGAGCTCTGTCCACGCAGGAGCAGAAAGCCCTCGTCTCAATTCTCTGACAGTCACAGATATAAGCCTCTTGTCTTGTGGGCTCTGTACCCTTAACCACTATTACACGGCCTCCCTGTAGAAGTCACAGGATTTGGTAAAACTCAGACGCAAGAGTGGAAGGAGAATGAAGATTTGATAATAACTGTCAGGCTTCAGGCTTCGATGTCCAGGTGGCCTATGATGAGATGCGAACATAGGAAGAGAAGATCCGAAAGGGCGTGTGGGGGTTAGTAATAGTTCTGTTTGGGAATCGGTGAGTTGAAGTACCTATGAAACAACAAAGAGAGATATCCAAGAAGTAACTGAGAAGTTTAAGAGAGTAATAAAGACTTGGGAGTTACTACTATGTAGAAGGCATTGAATGAAGCCATGAGATCACTCAGCAAGAGCAAAGACAGAAAGAAACTGGGAGGGAATGTTACAGTAGTAAGAGGAAATGGGGAGAATGTGATACATTGTAGAACCCAAGGAAGGAGAAAAATATCAAACATTGCAGAAAGGTTGAGTATGATAAGGATTAAGATGACAGACGCAATGAGGCTATTGTAGCTGCTCCAGAGTGACAAGGACAGTGATAGGAGATGAGATTTAAGTAGGGAGGGGCTAGGTCAGGCGGAACCTTGTGTGCCATTAGGAGGTGTCTGGATTTTATCCTAAGTGCAGTAGGAGATCATTAGAGAATTTTAAGCAAGGGAGTGAAGAAATTTGATTTGCACTTTAAACATATCACTCTGTTATGTGCTGGATGGACTGAAGTGGGGTAAGAGTGGAGGCAGTTAGGAGGCTGCTGCAGCAATCCAGACTTGGACTGGTATGGTAAGAGTGGAGGTGGTAAAACGTGTTCGGATTCAGGGTACATTATGAAAAGATACCTGATTGAATATAGAATAAGAGAAAGATAGGAAGGAACCAAGAAGTACTCAGGGTTTTGATTTGATCCGTTGAGTAGATGGTGGTGCCATTTACAGAGGTGGGTAAAACTAGAGAAGAAAAAAAACAGGTTTGGGGTGGGAACCAGAATCATGAGTTTTATTGTGGTCATCTTGAGTCTATAAGATGCTCATTAGACATGCAAGTGGAAATGCCAAGTAGGCAGTTGGTGATTCAAATCTGGAACCCGGGGGGGGGGGAAGTTGGAGATATTAATTTTAAGTCATCGGCATATACATAGCGTCAAAGCCATAAGCCTATAGGGACATTCAAGCTGTGGTTCCTTTCTCACTTGACCTGACAGAGGTTGTGTGGCCCCTGGTTGGGGGCTGGGAGAGGAACCCAAACTCATCCCCATTGGGCAGAGGAAGCTGGTCATTGTAACCTGAGAGCAGGACAGAAATCAGGACAAACCTGGCTCAGGGGCTTCTTGCAGAGAAATGGTGCCAGAGAAACTAAGACCAACTAAGAGCACACAGGAGGGCTGAAGGGTTTCCATTTCCTCCCTCCCTTCCCGCCGCCCCCCCCCCCCCCGCCTTCCATAATGCTCTCTGTTAGTATCATTAACTCAGGAGCAAGAGAGAAAGGTGATATTGAGGACACTCAGTCGGTAGAGCCATCAATAGGAGCTCCAGCTGAGGCCAGGGGGCTAAATGTGGGAGTTTATATAGCATGCATTCCCCCCACCCTGCCCACCCACCTAGCAAGAGTCAAAGCTCCTGAGAGTTGGCATAAATGCCACCCACAGATACAGCACTCCTGGGAGGAGGCCTGGACTTCAGGCAAGGGGTCATACCCACTATTCTGCTACTAATGTGAAGAAGACGAGCATGAGCTGAAGAGCTGAGACCAACCATCCCCTGATTTTGAGCCAACCAGATGAAAGTACTGAAGACCAGTACTTCTCTAACTTTAATGTGTAGTCAAAGTATTTGGGGATTTTGGTAAAATGTAGATTCTGTTTTAGTACATCTGGGGCCTAAGACTATGCATTTCTAACAAGCTCCCAGGTAATACTTTTGCTGCGGGCACAGATCACACTTTGAGTAGCAAAGGATTAGAGGCAGCTATGGAGCTACCCACCATAGAGAGGACAAGTTTAGTTCCAGGAATGTGTTCATTTGTACACAAATTCACAAAACCTATTAAAGTGGAAATGGCCGCCATTTTGTCATGGCTGTGAGGCAGACGGACATTTCTTGGCAGATTACCTCTTCCAGGAGCATTGCACGGTTGTTAAGCATTTGGGTTCCTAAGCTTTACCTCTTAGTAGAGATGTGATCTGAGGCAAATCTTTCATTTCTCTGCATCTCAGTTTCCTCATCTCTATAATGGAAATAATAAGCTTATTGTGAGGATGAGTTGAGTCAATAGATACAAAGTGCTTAACACATAGCAGCATAGTAAGTGCTCTCAGCAAATGGTGTCCTTCTTGTTGCTAATGCACCCTCCTACAATAGTTGACAGAGACACACGTAGAGGCTTAGTCTCCTTTTGGTACACGGTCAAAAACATAACCCCCATCTCCCTCCCACCAAAAGGCCTGTATCCTCTCTTTCAAATTCCTTCTACCCTCCCGCCTTGTCCCACTCCCCCTCCCCTGGCCCCTGGCCCCAGTGTGGTCTGGATGGGCCCCACAGGGGCAGAGACAGGGACAGGACGTGGGGCTGTATCTGACAGGAACCTGAGGGGCTGGCCCGGGAGGGGATTGGGGCCCGGCTTCCTGAAGGGAGGATGGGCTAAGGCAGGCACACAGTGCCGGAGAAGATGCCCTCCTGGGCCCTCTTGGTGGTCACCTCTTGCCTCCTCCTGGACCCCCCAAACCTGGCACAAGTCACCAACCAAGGTGAGGTGTGTGGAGGGTGGAGATCACCTATATGCAAAAAGAGGGAGTCCTGGGAAGGGTGCCAGGCAGGAGGGTCCCACTGGTTCCCTACTCTTGCCCATAAACATGCCTGGAAGAACTCAGAGTCCAACTCACCAGCTGTTCTTCAGATGCCTCCTTGCTGGCCTTGGACTCAGAGACCCTGAACTGTTTTTCTCGAACATTTGAGGACCTCACTTGCTTCTGGGATGAGGAAGAGGCAGCACCCAGTGGAACATACCAGCTGCTGTATGCCTACCCAGGGTATGTGTTGGGCTGTGCCCCACTCCCCTGAATCTGTCCTTTCCTTACCTCAGCTGAGCCCTATTCCAGGAGCTTCCCTGCCTTTGGCCCTACCAGAGAATTACTCCAAGTACATGCCCTAAGTAGCCACTTATCGAATAGATGTGCTTTGCAGAGACCCAGCTCTAGGCCCTACATAACCCCTCATCCCACCTATCCCAGGCACTGAGAAGAGAAAGGCAGTGATGGAAATAGAAGGAGGGCTTGGGCCTAGCCTGGGTCCTGAGGGCTGGCCATGGTGGCCATTTAGGTAGGATGGACTTCTATGCCCACAGGGAGGAGCCCCGCACCTGCCCCCTGAGTTCACAGAGTGTGCCCCCCTTTGGAACCCGATATGTGTGCCAGTTTCCAGCCCAGGATGAAGTCCGTCTCTTCTTTCCACTGCACCTCTGGGTGAGGAACGCGTTGCGGAACCAGAACCTGACCCAGCGGGTGCTCTTTGTGGACAGTGTGGGTAAGCGCCATCCTTCGGTCATCCTGGTCCCTCTATTTGCTGCCTCCGGGCCAAATCCTAGAGTCAGACTGGTCTGTGCTCTTTCAGGACAACATGGATGTCCTCCATTACTAGCCCCCAGAGGCACCTCAAGACCCCCTTATCATTCCTCCCAGCTTTGGCAGCCAGAGCTAGACTTCATGTCACATCAGAGACACCCTGGTCCTCCCATCATTAACCTATTCATTTACACACTCATTCAACAGTTACAGAATACCTACTGTGTGCCAGGCACTGTGCTAGGTAACAAGGATACAGAGACGAAAAGAGAGCCCTGCTCTTGAGGAGCACAGCGTCTAACTAACCTGCAATGAGGTCACTGCTCTCATGAGGAAAGGAGAACAGGATAAGGAGCCTCCCTGCCCTGTCCTCCACCAGAGAGCCAGTCCAGCCTCCGCACCCCTCTCTTCAGTCCATGAGTTGAACCGTAGACTGTGGCATTCAGAGAGTTCTGATGTACGCTGTCTTGCCCTCAGGCCTTCCAGCTCCCCCCAGTGTGATCAAGGCCATGGGCTGGAGCCAGCCAGGGGAGCTTCAGATCAGCTGGGAGGCCCCAGCTCCCGAAATCAGTGATTTCCTGAGGCATGAACTCCGCTATGGCCTCAAGGATCCCAGGAACTCCACTGGTACCACAGTCATGCAGCTGCTTTCCACCGAAACCTGCTGCCCAGCTCTGCGGAGGCCAAACCCAGCCCCAGCTCTGGACGAGCCTGCATGTGCTCAGCCCATGATGTCCCAACAGGATGGACCAGAGCAGACCTCCCCAACTAGAGAAGTATCCTACCCATCTTGTGTCCCATCTCCTATCTCCTACTCCTAATTTTGCCCCAAGATAGGACAGGCCATACTGTGGGGATTCCAGATGGGATGGTCCTTGGGGAGTTAGTACAAGCTCTGATTAGTCCTCAGGAGCCATGTCTATTTAGGGATCTCTCACTTCGTGTCATTCACACCAACAAAATTGAGAGCTTCAGGCTTCCAAATCAATGGGGATTTCCCTAAAAACCCCCGAACACTACCTGAAATCCACCAACCTGGTCCCCAGTCTGTGAACAGATCTCTCCAGTAAGGAACTAAGTGTCTCTCCACAGGTATGCTGTGGGGCTTCAAATGTAAGAGATGGAGGCTGTCTTGGCCAAGAGGCAGACCTAGATTCTGAGGCTGGGATTCTTCTCTCAAGGCTCCATCTCTGACAGTGATGGGCGGAAGCTGCCTCATCTCAGGGCTCCAACCTGGGAACTCCTACTGGCTCCAGCTGCGCAGCCAACCTGATGGGGTCTCCCTCCGTGGCTCCTGGGGACCCTGGTCCCTCCCTGTAACCATGGACCTGCCTGGGGATGCAGGTGAGTCAATAAAGGAATAGGGAGATAAGAAGGAAACAGGAAGGTTTCTAGGGAGGACTGGGCTGGACACGGAAGCTCTAATAACCATGGTCGTTCCTGATGACCTCAAACTTACCACTGGACAGAGTGACCTATGGTCAGGGAGAGAACAAAGAGTAGGAATAAATGTTCCAAGTTATGTGTGTAAAGATGATCTGGATGCCCTATGGAGTAGGAGCACGTGGGTCCTGATGGGCCTTCCTTATCTGACTTCAGTGGAAATTGGACTGCAATGCTTTACCCTGGACTTGAAGAATGTTACCTGTCAGTGGCAGCAGCAGGACCATGCTAGCTCCCAAGGCTTCTTCTATCACAGCAGGCCGTGGTGCTGCCCCAGAAACAGGTGAGAGTTAAACAGTTGATTGAGCTTGATGTCATGGGAGAGAGGTACAATACTGTGGAAAGAAGAGAGAGATTGTTCTTTGTCCTCTTCACTCCTTTTCCTGTCCCCAAACCAAATGGCCGCCAGGCTCTCATCCTCCAATGGATGTTTTCTCTTCTCCACCTCTCTGCATTCCCACTGGGAATGCCTTGGTTTAGTTCAGCTTTAATCATGTCACCTAGACCATTGCAACAGCCTACATTCCCATTCGCCTGCATTGTATCCTCTTTGCTGCTGACAGAGTGACCTTTGTTAAACTCAAACATTCCCTTCTTCAAATACGTACTGTAACTTTCCACTATCTATCAACTCCAATCAAAACTACACCTGGTCTTCAAGAATTTCCACTGAACACCTCACTGATCTGTCACCCCCACCATATCCAATCTCTAACCAAGTCGTGTTGATCTTACCTAGCCCACATCTCTAGCACCTGCCCACCTTCGTTCACCATCACCATTATCCTAGTCCGGGCCATCATCATCTCTCACTGGGGCCACTGAGAATACTCACTAACTGATCACCTCTTGAATCCTCCAAATCATTCTCCACACAGGAGCTGGAGTGATCTTTTAAAAGTGCATAAATGAACACAACACTCCCTGCTTAAAAATCTTCAAGCTTTCCATCGATCTTAGGATAAAGAAAAGAACTTCATCATGGCCTTATAAAGTCCTAAATACTCAGCCCCTACCTATGCCTTCAGCCTCATCTTATACTGGCTTCCCTTTGCTCTCTACGGTCCAGTACGGGCCTTCTTTCATTCCCTCTTACCTACCATATTCCCTCCTGCCTTTGCACATGCCGTTTACACAGCCCTCCTCTCTTTACTTAACTTCTGCTCATCCTTCAGAACTCAACTCAAATGTCCCCTCCTCAGGGAACCCTCCCCTGACCTTCCAATAGCACTACTATACGTACTTGTTGTACCGCGTACCTCTAATTCTTAAGTACTTATAATAGTTACAATTTTACATTTATAATTTATGTGATTATTTAAATGATTAATAATAAAATTTTCTCTCAGAATTCCAGTTGAAAAAGGCTAATCTTGACCATACATGATCCATGAGGGCCAAGTCAGTGTCTGTTTTTACTAACCAACATATTCTCACCCACCACAGTGCCTGGAACATTACTGAAAGAATGAATGATGAAAAAAAACAAAAACATTATTCACAGTTTCAATGTATTCTTCCATTTTTTCTATGCATTTACATCTGTCTATACAAATTTATTTTCAACATAAATTGGATCATTATATATGCATATACATATGAATATATATATATATACACACACACACACACACATATATATGGTTTGTTAACTTACTTTTTTACTTAAAAATATGTCTTGGAGATCATTACAAAGATGTAACTCATTCTTTTTAATAACTGCACAGATTTTCCATAGTATAGCGGTGCCTTGAATGAATTAAAGGGTGGCAAAACTGAAGTCATCATCATTTCCTCTACCAAAACCTGCTCCTCCTTTTATTGTCCTCCATCCTACCATCAACTCAGTTTTCCAGGACTGAAACACGGGAATCACCCTGGATTTCTGCCATTTCTACACCTCCAGGCCCAATCAGAAACAGTCTTGTCATTTCTACCTCTTCAGTACCCCTTGAATCCATCTATTTCCCTCTACCCCCACTGCCACAATCCTGTTTTCAGATCCTCATCACTTTGCACATGGAAAACCACAACACTGTCCTAACGGATTTCGCTACCTCTAGTCCACCCTCACCAATCTTTTCCTCCAAACTGAAGTTAGAGTGAACTTCCCAAAGTACAAAGCTAATTTTGGCAACTCCCTGTTTAAAATCCGTAAATGTCTCCATAATTACTACAAGACTAAGCTCAAGCTCCTTAGAAAGGCCACAGAATCTTCCATGACCTCGGTCTGCTGTCTCACATTTACCACTCACCACCAGGCCCTCTGTGCTAAAAGCATTCTGCACCACTCAGAATTTCCCCCAAAGCCCCATATCGCTTATCTATGCCCAAGCATGTGCCTGGGATGCCTGTTTGTCCCCTTTGCCTCCTATTTATAGTCCAAGACTCAGTCTAAGCACTGCCTTGTCCAGGAAGTATTTCTGACCCTCCCACTCTGGGCTAGATGATCCTCCTTGATACTCCCAAACCAGCCTGTGCACATCACAGAAAAATACCATCTGTTTTTCTGCCTCTCCCACTGAAATGAGAGCTCCTTGGAGGTTATTCCTTTATGTATTCATAGGGCCTAGCACAGTGCCTGGCACATAGTATCAATTATTTGTTGAATAAATGAATAAACATATACACGTTAATACATAAAATGATAAAAAAAATTTTAGTAACAGCTAGATATTTACAGTCTATAATCAGAAAGCAGACACAATTCATTTGTTCAATAAACAATTATCCCCAGGCACTGGGGATAGAATGACAAATAAAACAGAAAAGTTTCCAGCATTGTTGGGGCTTCCGTTTTAGAGAGGGGAAAGGATGGGGTGACAAACAAGAAATAAAGGAACAAGGTTACATGATAGAGACTAAGTGGGAGGATGGGGGGGTTGGTGCTCATTTAGACTGAGGGGTCAGAGAAAGCCTCACCAAGGAGGTGACAGGTAAGCCGAGACCTAAGTGGGGAGAAGGAATAAGTCACATGAAAATGGAGAGTCAGAGCAATTCAGAGCAAGGTTAAGTGCAAAGACAGTGCGTTTGGCATAACTGTAGCATAGAAAGAAGGCCCACGTGGATGAAGGGTGGTAAATTGGTGTGAGAATTGCAGGAGAATGAAAATGGTGAGGTAGGGAGGAACTAAATCATATAGAGACCTGTAAGCCCTGGTACTGAGTTTGGATTTTATTCCAAGTGGAATGGGGAGCTATTGAAGGATTTTAAGCAGAAGAGTGACATAATATGACTTACATTTTTAAAAGATATGTTTCTCTGTGAAATTAGAAAGTGGTAAGAATAGAAGCAGGATCACCAGTTAGAAATTTGCCTTAATCCAGGCAAGAGATAATGGTGGCTTCATCTAATGTGGCAGGGGTCAAGATCAAAATAAATGGACGCATTTGTGATACATTCTGGCCATTATCAGTTCAACATTTTGGAAACAAATGCTGATAGCTGTGTGGAGAACAAATTGAAGGGAGAGGCAAAAATTGAGGCAGAAAAGCCGGTTAGAAGGCTGTTGTAATAATCTAATAGTAAAATAAAATATAGAGCTGGCTAAGAGGGCTGCTGTATGAGAACAGATTAAAAACATAAGAACATTTTCCTGCAGAAAGATGAAGCCTCTTTACTCTTTCAAACAGTTCTGTGAAGTAGGTATTATTAACCCATTTTACAAATGCGGAAACTGGGCAAGAGAGAAATCAAGTAATTTTCATGGCTGGATTTATACACCAATAAGCCAAACCTATATAGCCTGTGCTATTTTCATGTATCATCTAGCTCCTTCCTTAAGAGGAAAAGGCTGGACACCAAAACAAACTTCAGAAAATAAAACATTATGGCATGAACACAGAGAGAAAGCCCTGGAGGCCCATCCAAGAGAAGTTAGATTAGAACCCTTGCAGGGCATAGCCCCTGTGGGATGGGGAGTATCAATCTCTGAGGCAGGCCTGATTTAACGACTCTATGGGGCTGATTCTCAGGGACCCCATCTGGGAAAAGTGTGAAGAGCAGGACAAAACTCCAGGATTACAGCCCTCCCAGATCTCCCGCTGCCACTTCAAGTCACGAAATGACAGTGTTATTCACATCCTTGTGGAGGTGACCACAGCCCAGGGTGCTTTTCACAGCTACCTGGGCTCCCCTTTCTGGATCCACCAGGCTGGTAAGAACTTTCTTCCCTTCTCCTCCCACATGGTCCGCCCACCTACTGCATCTCACCCTATGCCCAGAATCACCAACTCTGACACTTCTGACCCATGGCCCTGGTGGCATGATGTCTCATGCACAGAAGGGCTTAGGCCAGTCCCTGATGACATCCCTGTAGTGCTTATCCCCACTCCGAACTTGCACTGGAGGGAGGTCTCCAGTGGGCAGCTGGAATTGGAATGGCAGCACCCCTCATCCTGGGCAGCCCAAGAGACCTGCTATCAGCTCCGATACACAGGAGAAGGCCATCAAGACTGGAAGGTAAGGTCAAGGAACAAACGCCCACAGACCTCACCACACAGGGTATTCCTGAGTTTTACCATGTCTGTTATCAGGGGTAAAAGTGTCCATGTATTTCATGTCTAGGCTTGTATAGATCTGTGTTTATCTGATTCAACTGGTATCTTAATCCTTCTTTGGCATCTGACACTGCTGACTACTCCCATTTAAAATGTTCTCTTCCCTTTGCCTTTGGGATATCAGTCTCTCCTGATTCTCATGCCACATCTCTGACCAAACCTTCTCGCCTTTCTTAGCCTCTCCTATTCCATCCTTCCTTAATATGTTGTGCTTCCTACAATCCCATCCTAGACTCTTTTCTCCTCTAGATAAATTACATATGCTCTCCCCAGGTGAGTGCTTCAACTCCACGGTTTTAATGACCATACATTAACTATCCCAAACTTACCGGTACCATATGGAAAGGAGCTTCTATACCATAGAAAAAATTACCTAAACTTTTTTTTAGCAGAGCCACCCTGCCACCTGTTGGCAGCTCAGTGGCAGCTCAGCTTGGACTGGGAATCGAACCGGCGACCCGGTTGCTCAGAGCTGGCACTCTTGAGCAAGCTCTTAAACCAACTGAGCTACTTGGTCGGACCTTACCTAAACTTTTGAAGTTCCAATTTCCTCATTGGTAAAATCAGCAGAGTCACAGTAAAAATTAACTATATAGCTACCTAGCATACTGCTTGGCAGATAGAAGGTACACATATACATTAGTTAAATCTTCATTTCTTTCTCTACTTTTGTTCTCATTTACCACATACACAGTATATATAACGTCTTACCAGATAGCTCTACGTAGAAGCCCCCAGGGACATTTTAGACTCAATATAGCAATCCCCTCTTATCTGTGGGGGATACATTCCAACACCCCTGGTGGATGCCTGAAACCATGGATAGTATTGAACCCTATATAATACTATTTTTTTTCCTATACATACATACACTTCACGGGTTCTCTTTGGCATATCCAAATTGCCAGCATCACTACTCTTGCACTTTGGGGCCATTATTAAGTAAAATGAAGGTTACTTGAACACAAGCACCACAATACCTTGACAACTGATCTGATAACTGAGACAGCTACTGAGTGACTAACAGAGAGGACAAAGGGATGATTCGTGTTGTGAGTAGGATGGAATGGAATGACGTGAGCACTCATCATGCTACTCAGAACAGCACACAATTTAAAACTTACAAATTATTTATCTCTGTCATTTCCCATTTAATATTTTTGTAACGTGATTGACCGCAAGTAACTGAAGCAGTGAAAAGCAAAACTGCAGTTAAGGGGGGACTACTATATATCCTACAGTAAAGTATACGAAGTTTAAGTATACAGTTGATTAATTTGTACATATGTATACACCCATGTCACCATTATTCAGATCAAGATATAGGTTATTTATTGCACCCCAGAAGCTCCTCATGCCCCCTACAGTCACACACCTCCCTTCCAAGGTAACCATGATTCCAACATCACAACTGATAAGTTTTGACTGTTGTTGAACTTAATAAAATGGAACCATACAGTATTTCTTCCTCAAACTTACTTCTCTGTTCCTTGTCTCTGACAATGGCACCACCACTTATTCAGTTGCCCAACCTGGAATCCTCCTTGATTCTCCTTCCTTTTCCCTTGTCTCTTCCCCCTGTTTATCAACAAATACGTTGAGTTTATGGTACTAACAGTCCTCAGATCCCTACCACCACTGCCTTAGCCTTATCTTTGACCTCAAGCCTGCCCATCCATGCTCTTTGTACACTGAACTACTCTCTAGCCCCCAACCAAGCAACACGGGCAGCACTAAACGCTTCTTCGAGCTCCTGATGCCTTACTTATATCATTATTATAGCACTAATAACTTGTAATTATTTACTTGTTTGTATTTCTTCCTCGTTGGACAGGTGAGAGACCATGTTTTATTTACCTTTTTTCCCTAGTGCCTAGCCCAATGCTTGGCATATCACAAGCAGTTCATAAATGCTTGTTAAATTATCAAGTTAATAAAGCCTCCTTGCTTGTATACACGATGCTTGTTCCCTCTGCTTGGAATCTGTCCTTGTACCCACAGCATCTAGCACAATTCTGGAATCCGCTGCTGAATGCGTGCCATTTGCAAACGGCCTGTGTGGCCCAGAGTATCTGAGTGTGTCTGGGGTTTTCATCGATGGACCTGGCGTTCTGGCGAGGGCTTCTAGAAAGATGTCTGTGTGTCCTGATCAGTGTGTGTGCCCCGGGATCTCTGTCGGGGTGTGTCCTATGCATTTCTATCAGGATGACCAGTTCACAGTACAGATGAGGTCTGTGTGTCAGGGAGCATTTCTCTCCGGGCATTATATGCCTCGGACAGGGCGAGGCCGCTCAGGGAAAGGCTGTGTTCTATATTCCAAGTTTCCGCCAGGATGCGGATTCTCTGTCAGTGAGGATCTTTGGGGAGGACCCCTTGGATTCAGAGCGGTAGGATTTTGGTCCAACAGATGGCGGTCTATCGAAGCCCGCCCACGGGCACCCGGAGCCTGACCACTCGCTGGCTTCTCTGCAGGTACTGGAGACGCCTCTCGGGGCCCAGGGAGAGACCCTAGAGCTGCGCCCGCGCTCCCGCTACCTTTTACAGCTGCGGGCCAGGCTCCACGGTCCCACCTACCAAGGCCCCTGGAGCACCTGGTCAGACCCAGTTAGGGTAGAGACCGCCTCCGAGACAGGTAAGAGCCCGGAGGGGCACAGGCGGTCCGCGGCAGAGAGAATGGAGCGAGGCCGGTGCAGAGAGGGGTGGGGCTCCGACCGCACTGCTGTGCGGCTGCGCAGACGTACGCGGCGGCCTGGGATGGCGAGGGTGTGTTGAACCCTCGGGCGGGATTCCGGCCGTGGGCGGCCCAGATCTGATTCTTTTTGTCCCGTAGCCTGGATCTCCTTGGTGACCGCTCTGCTCCTAGTGCTGGGCCTCAGCGCCCTCCTGGGCCTGCTGTTGCTGAGGTGGCAGTTTCCTGCTCACTACAGGTACCGCCCACCTTGGTCAGGCGGGAGACGGCGGTAGCCAGGGCCGAGCCCGAGGCCTCTTAACAAGCATCCCAAGTTTTCTGTCTGACACCTGGTCTCGGGACAACCTCCAGTCCACACCTGTGGCTTCAGCCGCTTCCTTCACGTCTCCCCTGGGGGGCCGCGCCGCCTCCTTACACTCGAACATGCCCGCTATACTGAACATCTCAAACAGGCTCCTCATCGCAGTCACAAGGCTACTGTCCACCTGTCACCCGAGCCAATACACTTAGGTGCCTCACTCCTTATCCAGTCAGGTCTGGTCATTTCACTTCCTAAACCTCGCTCTAAACATGGCCCCTTTCCCCTAACCCTACATACACTACCTGAATCGCTGAAATAGAACCTCTTTCTGCTCTAATCTAGCCTCATGCAGTCACCAGAAAAATCTTCCTAAAATGCACACGTTAATGTATCACTCGCCTCCTTAAATCTCATTATTAGCTCCCCAAGATAGAGACCAGACTCTAGAATGACAAACAAGGCTCTGCAAAATCTGGCCCCTGCCAGCATTTCCATCCTTTCTCACACTGTGCATCCACTTTGCCAAACTGTTGTTGAATTCCTCCAGAAGTCAAGTGGTTTTACTTCTCAGTGCCTTTGCACATAATGTCCCCTCTATCAGGAATATCCTCCCTGGATGACTAATACCCACTTACCTTTAAATAACTTTCTTGACCAACTCCTGGGAAACCTTTCCTAACCCTCCCCTATTGGCTACTCTCTTTGTGCCCCTGTACAGACTTCTATCATAGGACCAGTAAAATTTTACTATATTTATTTCTCTATGTGTCTTCCCTATACCTTACTTGGTCATCTTTAAATCCTCAGCACAGTGCCCGCCAAATAGCATGCCTTTAAATAAACGTTTTCAATGAATGACTCATTTAGTGGGAAGTCTAAGGCTGAGGAGAAATGTCATTGGCGGTTTTAAACAGAAAGGATAGAATCCATACCACCTCAGTCCTTCAGTCCTCCACATCTCTTGATTCTTTTTTTTTTTTCTTTTAAGATTTTATTGGGGAATTGGAGGAGGGGAACAGTGTTGAGGAATTGGGGAAGGGGAACAGCCAAGTTGTTGTCCTTCAATCTTAGTTGTGGAGGGCACAGCTAGCTCAGCTCCAAGTCCAGTCGCCATCCAGCTGCCTGTGGGCAGCTCACAGCTGCTCAGCTCAAGGTGTGTTCAATCTTATTTGTGGGGGGGGGGATAGGGGGTGCAGCCCACCATCCCATGAGGGAGTCGAACCAGCAACCTTGTTGTTAGGAGCACGTACTCTCACCACCTGGCCATCCTGCTACCTGTTGGCAGCTCAGCGGCAGCTCAGCTCAGGCGCAGCTCACTGGCCCATGTGGGGATCGAAACTGCGATCCTGTTGCTCAGAGCTCGTGCTCTTAACCAACCGAGCCATTCGGCCGGCCCCATCTCTTGATTCTTGAAGACTCAGCTCAGAAGGCAGCTCCTCCAAGCAGCTTCTTTTGATGACATAGGCTAGGTTAAATGCCTCTCTTCTGGGTTCCCATCTCTGAACATGTCTGTCTTTGAACTTTTAATCTGCTCATGTATATAAGCAGACTGGAATGTAGCCTCTATGCAGGTAGCCAGATCCAACAGAAAAGTTAGGAAAAAAGAAGGAGGTGGTGCTGCTGAACCAGACATATTCAGTTCCCTTTCCCTGAATTACCAGATGTCACTCCTCCTCCCCTGGAGAAATATGAGTGAGGTCACAGAAGAGGCCTGAAGTGTTGTTCAGCTAAAATCCCTCTGTGTGGAAATATGAACCTAAAGAATTGGAGGTTCCCCCAACATACCTTAATCCATACCCTTCCCAGAAAGATCACCTTCCCCAGTAACTTAATAATAAGTTCCACTGGCTCATTCATTCATTCATTCATTCAGCTAATTTCTTGAGCACCTATAATGGGACAGACCACTGTTCTATACCCTGGAGATACAGGAGTGAGAAGATAGCCAAAATGTTTGCTTTCATGGGGATCACATTCTAGTGGGGGTGAAACAGACAAAAACAAATACATGTAATAACAATAAATACACAATAAGTCAAGAGCTATAAAGAAAAATAAAGCAGAGCATGAGATAGAGAGCGATGCAGAAGGGAGATGGTACTATTTTAGACAGGGTAGTCAGGGAAGGCAGCTTGACAGATGGCATTTGAGCAGAGACCTAAATGAAGTGAGGGAATAAGTCGAGTGTTCCAGAGAGAAAAGAAAGTACAAAGACCCTGAAGGAGAAATGTTTGAGGACACTCTGTACCACCCCTTTTTTGAACCTCTCCACCACTGACTTCCCTCCCCCACCTGAGGTTTCCTTTTCACCTATGCCCCTCCATCTTACTTTATCGCCTTGACTACACTCTAAGCTTTATTTGCCCACCTCACTGCCCCCCCCACTCCCCCACCCCAGTGTTCTCCTCCTCCCTCCCAGCTCACTCTCATGACTCAAGTCTCCTTCTCTTCCTTCTCCCCAAGGAGCCTGAGGCATGCCCTGTGGCCCTCACTTCCAGACCTACACCGGGTTCTAGGCCAGTACCTTAGGGATACTGCAGCCCTGAGTCCGGTGAGTGCACTTCTCCCTTACTACCCACCACGAGCCCTCCCTGGAGCTGGATCCTTGCCCCCACAACCCACCTTTTCAAGGCCCTGGCCCTCCAGAATTCCATTCCTGGGCCTTACCCCCACCCAAACCCTCATTCCTACACAATCCAGGTCCTCCTCCCACAGGACCTGATCTTGTCCCTTTCCCTCCCATCTCTCCCAGCCCAAGGCTGCAGTCTCAGATGCCTGTGAGGAAGTGGAACCCAGCCTCCTTGAAATTCTACCTAAATCCTCGGAGAAGACACCCTTACCCCTCTGTTCCTCCCAGACCCAGCTGGATTACCGAGGATTGCAGCACTCTTGCCTGGGATCCATGCCCCTGTCTGTATGCCCACCCATGGCTGAGGCAGGGTCCTACTGTACCACTCACATTGCCAACCATTCCTACTTACCACTGACCTGTTGGCAGGCCCCTCACTCCCAGTATCCTGGAGAGATCCAAACCCTCTAGATCTTTCTTCCCAGCCTCTCTTTCCACTGCACCCCACACTATAAACACCTCAAACCTCACCTCCATCCCCCTTGTTGACCCTCATAGCTGGGCTTCACAACACTGATTTTTCAGTACGGCTGCTGACATAAGTCTTTCCTCAGACAAGGCTCATTTGACTAAGCTCCTCTAATTTCCACCTTCTTTCTCTCTCCTCTTTAATGTCAAACTCCTTGAAAAGAACTCTTCACCTCCCGCTTGTCATTTGCTCTTTGGACTACTTCAATTAATTCCCCTACTACTATCACTTTGCTAATGAATCTGCTTAGGCATCGTTCACCTCAAACTTTCTAATTGCAAGATCCAATAGGATCTTGTTACCCCTCCATTTATTGATCTCTCTGTGGCATTTGTCATCGTGACTGGCTGCTTCGCCTTTAAATTCTCTCCTACCTTGGCTTCCATAACATCGCCGTCTCCCCTGGCTCTGCTCCTGCCTATGTGAGTATACCAGTAGTTAAGCGCATAAACTCTGGAGTCAGCACCAGATTCAATTCCTGTCATCCTACTTACTAGCTGTGGGCAAATAAAGTCTTCGAGCCTTAGTTTCTCATCTATAAAACAGGGGTGACAGAACCCTACAGAGTTGTGAAGACGATTCAGTGAGATAATCTAAATAAAGCACAGTGCCCAGGACATAGCAAGTGTTTAATATATCTGAACAATCATAATTATTCCTTTCTGTTCTCTTATCCTGGCATCTCTTCTGCTCCTTAATTATGACAGTCTCTCAAGAGTACATTCTTAACGCAGTCTCCAATCCCATCCATTCTCATTGCCCTTATTCTATGCCAACCATTCCAAAGTTCTTGTCTCCAGCCCAGACTTCTACTACAGCACCTGTGATGCCTTGTATCTGTCTCCTGCTACTAGATTGTGAGTTCCTTGAGGGCAAGGGCCGTGATTTATTTGTCTTTACCCCCCAGCACCTAGAGTAGTGCTTGGTGCATGGTAGTAGGCCTTCAATAAATGTTTTCTAAATGAGTGAAATCTTCCTGGACACCACCACCTTAACTTCATGCTAACCTTCCTTATCCTCTGAGCCATTCATATGCGGCAGTAAAAATGCTTAGGCCACTCTGGCTGTGGATTCTCCTGACCCATTCAAATTCTCAAACAAATGTTTTATTTTGTTTTGTTTTTGTTTTTCTGCTGGCTCTAAGCATACCCACTGTATCAGTCAGGGTCTTGGCAGAAATAGATGGCACACTCAAACTGGGTATCTTGATGAGAGTTTAATAAAGGCCATATTTATAAAGATGAAGCAGGATTTAGGAAAACCATCATGGAATAGTGCAGTCCCCCAGGGCTAACAACAGCTGGGAGCTGGTTCCACCCCGAGGCATTAAGGGGTAAGGAGGGAGAGTGGTTACTAGATCTGGAGATAGTAGCTGTTAAGAGAGGGGTGCCTGGCAGAAGCTGTGGCCTTAGATAGAGAGATATAGCCAACCTGTGAGGATGTAGCAGGGAAGGACCCAGGGGAATACATAGCTCAAGCTCACGGTTTTCCCATCCTCTGATCTCTGTATTAGTTTGCTAGTGCTGCCGTAACAAAGTACCACAGCCTTGGTGACTTAAACAACAGGAATTTATTGTCACACAGTTCTGGAAGCTAGGAGCTCAAGGTGTCAGCAGGGTTGGTTCCTTCTGAGGGCTGTAAGAAAGAATCTGTTCCATGCCTCTCCCCTAGCTTCTGGGGGTTTCCTGGCAATCTTTGGTGATCCTTGGCTTGGTAGAAGCATCACTCTTATCTCTGCTTTCATCCTCATATTGTGTTCTCCCTGTGTGTGTCTGTGCCTAAATTTCCCCATTTTATAAGGACACCAGTCATTGGATTATGGCCCACCCAAATGACCTAATCTTAACTAATTACATCTACAATGACCCTATTTCCGAATCAGGTCACACTTTTAAGTATTGGTGCTTAGGAATTTAACATATGAATTTTGGGTGGAGACACAATTCAAAATATCTTCACATTGGTGGAAGCCAAACGGAAGACAGAGCCCAAGGGAATCCACTGATACAGGCCATATGAATCAGCCTCACAGGGTACAGGGCAGGGTGGAGAAGGATGGAGGGTAGGTCTGGATGGGACAAATGGATGACACCCAGTATACTCATTTTCCATAATTCCTTCTCCAGCCATCTTCAAGGCTCTGACTCTACTCCTAGGGACTCAAGACTGGGATTGAAACCCAAACCAATGAACCTCTCACCTTTACACCCACTCAGCCATCATGTCCTGATCACTTTTACTTCCTAAATTCCATCTCCTCTGTCTCCACTGAACTACTACTACAGCTCTCTAATTAATATCTTTGCCTCCAGCCTCTCTTTATATCTCTCCAGTCTCAATCTGTATGTTGCCTCCAGATTGATATTCCTATTCATCTCACTCCTGATTTCTTTCGTTTCCACTGTTTCCCTATGTGATATTAAAAGTATTAACACAATGCCAATCACATAGTGAATACTCAGTGTTTATTGAGCTATTTAAAAAAATTTTATTAGTTTCAGGTGTACAAAACAATGTAATAGTTAGACATTTACACCCCTCACAAAGTGATAACCCTCCTCCCCCAATCTACTACCTGTCTGACATCATATATAGCTGTTACAATTCCATTGACTCTATTCCCTATGCTGTACTCCACACCCTGTGACTATATATATATATATATATATATAAAATTATAGTTGACATTATTGAGCAATTTTTATTATTAGCCCAATTTTGTCCCACTCCCTGAATATCACCTATATTTTATTCCTTCCATGCCCTTTGCCTCCCTAGATTCAAGTCCTTCAGGTGGGAGTTCCCATCTAACCAGCTCCTCAGCCTCTAATTATCCATCTCTAAAGCATTGTTCTCCTTCCCTCCAGCCTAAGAGGAAGTGATCTTTCTTTCCTGGATTGAAAAAGCTCCCTGTGTTTTCTATTCCATGTCTTCCTGGGGAGGGTACCCTGGCCCCTTGTCCTATCAGCTGGCCCTTGCCGGGCCTCTTTCTTTCACTTCCCCTGACTCTTTTGCTTTCACCTTCAAATAGGCATAGGCCTCTTGGTGCTAGTACTCCCTCAAACTCCCTCCTGCACTGACCCTTTCTCACTCCCAGATTTCTCACACAGTAGCCTGTGCTTGCTGCCTCCACATTCTCCTCACTCTTCTTTCTGCAGCCCTTCCAAATGGAACCCGAGCGCCCACTCTCCTGATCCCACTCTCTCCAAGGTCACCGATGATTTGTGTCTCAAGGCCAAAGCTGACCTCTTCTGTCATCATTCTGCTTGACCATTTTGCATATTAGAATTCCTCCCACTTCAAGGTCCATGTCAGTATAATCTGGCTTCTTTCATTATTTAAAAATGTATGAATTCCCTGAGGTCATACCCTTATTTACCCTATCCTTTTTTCTGCAGTTAACCCATACTCCAGAAGCTGCAAACTGCTGGCCATGTCCCACCCTCAGATGTGTTTTGTTTGGCCCTTCCCTACACAGAAACTCTCACTGATTGCATAAGGCCTAGCAGATAAGGCCAAATTCCTTAGCTTAACATTTAAGGCCAGGACTAGCCTGACTCTAAACTGCATTTTCTATGTTCTCTGGGGCTCAGGGACTCCCAATTTATAACCCCAGGACATCCAACTCCTTGTTTTCCTAGGTAATTGGAAATAGAGAACAAAGACACAGCAAAATCAAAGATAATAACAATATTAAATTTGGGCTAAGGGCCCCAGAGTTTTCTCTGTCACCAGAGTTCACTACTTATTATTATTGGTTGTGTGCCTTTGAGCAAGTTTTTAACCTTTTTCTTTCCCAGTTTCTTTTTCTATAAAGGGAGAGTGTCTGCCTTATGGGAGTAAGGATTAAACTCAATAATGTATGTAAACTGTTTAAACACAGTTAACAAATAGCCAGTAAATGGTACCCATTATTATTATTATTGCTGTTTCACCTCTAAGCATATTCACACAATTCATTCAAGTCATTATTAGAGCACTGGATTGAATGGGAGTCAGACCTGGATTCCCACCAATTTGTGTGACCTCGGGCAAATCCCTTCCCTGGGACTCCGTTTCTTCCTCTGTAAAATATGGGTATATTGCCAGGATGGGAAGGGTACACCACCACAGATTAGAATAGCGGATCTCTAAAATTCCTGACACCTGATCCTTTTTCTTGACTATAAGGAATTCAACTTTCGGCCTCATTTTCCCTCTTTGTAAAACAACAACAAACAAAACAATTTTTAAAAACAAACACATGTACTACTTCCTTCCTAGCAGTGTTGCTACAGGCACCAAGCAAATAGCAGATGCACCTTAACTAGCTCTGGCCTTCTTTCTGTACATAAACTCAGCCCTTTCTCCCGTCTCACCCTTGCCCCCACGCCGGCCGGCCGCTGCCTTTCCCTTCTCTAAACGGCTCAAGTGCTTTATTTAGGTCGCTTCACCGAGTTCTGCACTTAGGTATCATAAATACGATCCACAAACATGGCTTTAAATGCGAAGGGCGGGTCAGGCGAACTGGAGAAATGAATGGAAGCGGCTCGGGAAGGAGGAGGCAGCGCAGGCTCCGCCCCCAGACGCTCCGCGTCCCTCCCTCTCACTTTCAAACACGAGTTCTCTGGGACCCGCCTTACGCCTCTCTCTCACCCTTCAAATCACGCTCCACAGCTGGACTCTCGTGAGATCTGTGACTTGCCCCGGAAGACCCGCCCCCAGTGCCATAGAGACCAATGGGAGAGGGCGACGGTTGCGACGGTTGGGTTTTGAAGGAACCAATGAGTACTCGGAGCGGAGAGTTCAAGAAGTGTAGGCCGGCATTTGTAAGGCTGGTCCGGGATCGGAACCTGCTCGGAGCTGACGGTGTGAGGTAGCTGGGTCCCGCCGAGGTGGGACTGCGGTCGGAGGTGCCGGGCAGAGAAGGGCTGCCGCCGGTGTGGCCCTGACTGTGTGGCTGGCCTTCCTAGAGCCCAGTCGCCTGTCATCCTCCAGGGTTCGGCAGGAACCCCCTCCAAGGACCCCTCCTCTTCCTCTTCCAGACGCTCGGCTCCTATGGCGCAGTTCGTGTTCGAGACTGACCTGCAGTCGCTGCTGCAGCTGGACACACCCATCCCCAATGCACCCCCCGCGCGCTGGCAGCGCAAAGCTAAGGAAGCCTCGGGGCCGGGCCCCTCACCCATGCGGGCCGCCAACCGATCCCACAGCGCCGGCAGGACCCCGGGCCGAACTCCCGGTTAGTGGGGGTGTGGCGGGACACAGGGAGGGAGAGGGAACGACTGAGAGCAGCCTACATGCCCTCTGCCTCGGGAACCTTGTCAGACTGTCTGGCTTCCTTCTCACCACCCCAGGCAAATCCAGCTCCAAGGTTCAGACCACTCCCAGCAAACCTGGTGGTGACCGCTATATTCCCCATCGCAGTGCTTCCCAGATGGAGGTGGCCAACTTCCTTCTGAGCAAAGAGAACCACCCTGAAAACAGCCAGACGCCCACTAAGAAGGTATGTGTCGCAGAGGGACTTAAGGCAAGGGATCCGCCTGGGTACACAACGCCATCCTGCCTCACCACCACCCTTATGTGCCAGGAACATCAGAAAGCCTGGGCTTTGAACTTGAACGGTTTTGATGTGGAGGAAGCCAAGATCCTTCGGCTCAGTGGAAAACCACAAAAAGTCCCAGAGGGTAAGTAAGACCTGAAGTTCTTGGCTTTTGGAGAGAGGTGTCAGCCCTAACCCAGGGCTGAGTGGAGATGCCTGTCTGCTCTCCCCACCCAAGACTGGGAGAGGGGAGGTGTTTATCTGGCTTTCCAGGCTAGGGGCCGGGGGAGGTGTCATTTCGCCCTGTGTCTAGACTCACTCGGTTGCCACAGGTTACCAGAACAGACTGAAAGTACTCTATAGCCAGAAGGCCACACCTGGCTCCACCCGGAAGACCTGCCGTTACATTCCTTCCCTGCCAGACCGTATCCTGGATGCCCCTGAAATCCGTAATGACTACTGTAAGTGCAGCCTGCTCCTTGCTGGGTGAATGGAGAAAGGGCCTGGGACCAGGCAAACAAGGAAGCTCATGCTCTTCTCTTTGCCCCTTTGGCAGACCTGAACCTGGTGGATTGGAGCTCTGGGAATGTATTGGCTGTGGCTTTGGACAACAGTGTGTACTTGTGGAGTGCTAGCTCTGGTGACATCCTGCAGCTGCTGCAGATGGAGCAGCCCGGGGACTATGTATCTTCTGTGTCCTGGATCAAAGAGGGCAACTACCTGGCTGTGGGCACCAGTAGTGCTGAGGTGCAGGTGAGGCTTGTCCCTGTGCTACAGCTCTGTTGTCCCCCAGCAGGAGGATGTTAATTCCAAGACCCAATCTCTGATCATAGTGGTGACCTCTCTTTCTAGCTATGGGATGTGCAACAGCAAAAGCGGCTTCGAAACATGACCAGTCATTCTGCCCGAGTGGGCTCCCTATGTTGGAATAGCTATATCCTGTCCAGGTCAGTGGTTTTTGCTAATCTGTTGTAAAATCAGGCTATAATTTTTGCCCACTCTCCCCAGACTGTACACCTCTGAACTGAAGCATTTCTGGTCTGCTGGTGGCATTTGGTGCTGCCATAGAACCTGATTCCCTTCTCCTTCTTGCAGCGGCTCACGCTCTGGCCACATCCATCACCATGATGTTCGGGTAGCAGAACACCATGTGGCCACACTGAGCGGTCACAGCCAGGAAGTGTGCGGGCTGCGCTGGGCCCCAGATGGACGACATTTGGCCAGTGGTGGCAATGATAACTTGGTCAATGTGTGGCCTAGTGCCCCTGGAGAGGGTGGCTGGGTTCCCCTGCAGACATTCACTCAGCATCAAGGGGCTGTCAAGGTGAGAAGGGGGCTGGGCTGGGGCCTCTGTAGACCCTCACCCAGAACCTGGGAAATACGGGGAGATGGGATGGTGGGATTGTACTGGGTTACCTGTGACCGTTGTAGCTCCTTGTCTGGTGCTTGCTGACCCCACCTTTAATCCCATCTAGGCTGTTGCTTGGTGTCCCTGGCAGTCCAATATCCTAGCAACTGGAGGGGGCACCAGTGATCGACACATTCGCATCTGGAATGTCTGCTCCGGGGCCTGTCTGAACGCTGTGGATGCCCACTCCCAGGTAGTCTTTTCCCTATTACAGCCTCTTACTCCCAAATATGTTCTTACTCTTCATAGCCTCCCTGGGCAATCATGGCCCCTCCGATGGCTTTACTCACTCTACCCTGATGATTTCCAAACTTCTAAGTCAGCTCTCACTCAGGAGCTCCAGACCCATATTTCCAACACCCTGTGGTTTAGCTCGATTCCCATATCTTATAAGGTGGTACCACCCTAATATGTCCCAAATTAAACTTGTTACTTCCCCTTGGCTCCCTGAAATGTATTCCTTCCCCTCCTCCTCCTCTTACATTGTTTGAGACAACCTAATCAGAAACCTGAAGAAACCTCTAGAATCTTTCATCCTCCTCACCTAGTCACCAAGATATATCAATTTTATCTCAGAATTCCATTCATATGTCCCCCCTCCCTTCGGTATCATCCTTCCCAGTGGAGGCCCACTACACTGGTCTCTCTGCATTCTTATCTCCTGTCTGTCCTCTATACTGTGGTCTGAGTGGTCTGTTATTGTCCTTAAATCCTGCAATAGCTCTCCATCACCTATAGCATATAATCCAAATCCATTAGAATTTGAGGCTCTTGCTGGTGGGTCTCTGCAACCACTCCAGCTTCCTCTCCTTACCCCGCCCCCACACCGCGCCTCATGCATCCTTCATTCTGGATTTAGTCATTCAAGTCTGAGTCCATAGCTCCTGGCAAGATGCCTACCACTAGAATGGACTTAGTTCTGATTTGAGTAGCGTGTGCTCTATGTCATGCCCACACCATCCCCTCTCCACAGGTGTGCTCCATCCTCTGGTCTTCCCACTACAAGGAACTCATCTCAGGCCATGGCTTTGCCCAGAACCAGCTGGTTATTTGGAAGTACCCAACCATGGCTAAGGTGGCTGAACTCAAAGGTAGGTGCTAAGTGACAGAAGCCAGACACAAAAGGCTACATATTGTATGACTATATGAAATGTCCAGAAGAGGCAAATGAGGAGTGACTTTCTTTATGGAATGATGAAAATGTTCTGGAATTGTGATGGTTGCACAACCTTGTGAATATGCTAAAAACCAATGAATTGTACACTTTAAAAGAAAAATTTTATGGTATGTGAATTATTGAATTATCATCTCAATAAACCTGTTACAAGAACAAAAACCAAAAAAGGTAGGTGGCCCTCAAAATTGGAGGGCTAAATAGTAGTATGTCTGCATTTATATGCGCTGCTCTCACTTTTTCCCTCGTGCCCCAGGTCACACAGCCCGGGTCCTAAGTCTGACCATGAGTCCAGATGGGGCCACGGTGGCATCAGCAGCAGCAGATGAGACCCTGCGGCTCTGGCGCTGCTTTGAGTTGGACCCTGCCCGGCGGCGGGAGCGAGAGAAGGCCAGTGCAGCCAAAAGCAGCCTCATCCATCAAGGCATCCGTTGAGGACCAACTCATCACCTCAGTTTTTTGTATGCTTTTTTTTATTTTTCTAATAAAGTTATATCTCTCTCTCTTCTCCCTGCGTGACATCTGTCCCAGTGGCCTTCCCAAGAGGCTTCTCTTTATGATTAGAGAGCTAGAAACATCCATTCTGTGAGAGCCTTGACCATCCCTTCTGTTTGTAGACAGAGCTAGCAAGCTTTGTAGCCCACTTCCTCCATTTACACACTTACACACACAGTCTCAGTGGTTTCCTCTGTCACTTTTAATGAAGACATAGTGAGTGAGCAGCCTTCACAGGCTGTATTCCCAGGCCTCCCAACTCTGACCTTTGGCCAAAGAAGCTCCTGCTTCGGTGTGGGGTGGAAAAGGAGAGAGCCTGGGTCCACAGTGACAGGTTATTGCTGACCTCTTCATTGTGAGAAAAAAGGCCACACGGCCCTGTTGGGGGCCAGCCCTGAGTGCTCCTCTCCCAAGTTTAAGGCAGGGAGGGGGAAGTTAAGTGTCCAGCCCTTTCAGCCCCCAGCTCGAGTGGCAGAGGGCAATCAGGCCATGTCCCTGGGGCTGGCCGGGAGGAGTGGGTGAGGAACGGAAGCAGTGGTCCCTGTACCAGCTGTGGGGAGGGGAGGGCCTGTCCCCTGCTCAGTCCTGACCACATGAGCCCTGGTCACAGGTGTAGGTGGGGAGGACAATGACAGATGCTGCCCAAGGTGCAGTCCTGAGGCACTTAGGTGGGCGCCTAGCTAGAGCATGCTTCTCAGTTGGCCTTGACTTTGGTGGTACCTGCAGCTCCATTTTGCTGAACTGAACGGGGCAGCCGTTTGCCTTTGGTGTAAGAATGATACCAGAAATTGGAGAAGAGCACGAAGAAGATGGTGCCGTACATCCAGATGAGGTGGATGATGACTGGGTACTGGTAGTTACAGCTGGGCATGAAGTAGTACTGGGAGATGTGCAGTGAGACCAAGACAAACTGGATCTAGGACAGAAAGGCAAAGGTCAGAGGGAACAGGACTGGAGGGAAGAGGGGTAGACAAAGACTGAACATTGAGTGGGTGGGATAGGGGTCAAAGATGAGAGGTTGGATAAAGGAAGGATCCAGGCTAGGAATGTTGGGGGAATGGTTATAGGCCAGGTCCAGGCTGCTCACCAGCTGGATGGCTGTCATGTGCTTTTTCCACCAAAGGTAGGGTTGAGCTGCAGGGCCGAGGGCAGACAATCCATAGTACAGGTACATGATGACATGCACAGAAGAGTTTATCATGGCATGGAAAGAGCCCATTCCTCCTGTGAGGGACAACGAACAGGGTCAGGGGAGAAGAGCTTCTGCTGCCCAGTGCCTGCCCCTCTTCCCCCAGTGGACTTCACCACTCACCTGGGGCAATTTTTACTCCCCACCACCAGCTCCAGGGAAGCACTGAGTGGTGAAAGACATGTAGGAAAGTCACCTGTCCATCTTTTTTCCGGAGAATAAAGATCACCTGAGAGAAGAATGGGGAAAGGGGTTTCAGAGCCAGGGCCTCTCACTCCTTGACCCTCACCCAAGTTCTCACATTTCATATACTCACTGTATCCATCAACTCAATGAACTTGGAGAAAAGGAAGAGCCAGGCCACTCGAACCATCTGCAAGAAGTCAGTGCAGCCTTAGGACCCCCACACTACGCCAAGAGCCTCCCTACACTGGCCCATGAACACAGGTCACACCCAACCTGCTCCTGTCCCCAGGCTGCTTATGACCTAGTCCTGCCCCTACTTACCCTCAGTGCCTCCGGGTTGTTGGAATAGTCCACAGGGTCACAGCGCCAGGTGTAGCTACTCAGCCAGCCAGACATCAGGAACTAGGAAGGGTGTGAATCAGACCCCCAGAGTTCTCTCCCTCCCCCAATCCCTCCCATTTTCTAGTTGAAGAGATGGATCTGAGCCTCTTTGGGAGGAAGATGCCATGCTCTGGCTCTAAGGCATCCCAGGGGCCCACCTCATAGACAATGTAGATGGAGAGTGCCACCAGTGAGAAGTTGTAGACAACCATGAAGCCACGCAGCTGGAAGGGCTTCCGATTGGCCATGATGCGAGGCCCAAGTGAGAGAACGAAGTACACATAAGTCAGGAGGATGGAGGTCATTAGCAGGGGGGACCCCATCAGAGGGTAGCCCTGGATCCGGGGATCTGTGAATAAGGGTCAAAGGAATCAGGAGGGGCCACAGGTTCAAAGGGTCCCCACCAGGTATACAGACATGAGGTTAGGTCACAAAGGGTCAAGGGGTTTGAGGCGATTCTCCATTAGGAGACAGCCCTAGATCCAGGGATCTCAGGGGAGGAGGGAGGAAGGGCAGGTGCACAGCACCTTACCTGCGTGCTTCATCATCGCCTGGTACAAGTTCACAACAGCCTCCATCCTGGCTAAACACTCTGGGGAGGTAAGAAGGGAGGTAAGAAGCCAGGGCTGACTGTGCCCCTGCCATCCCACCCTTGACAGGACACAGACCAGACAGGACAATTCTAGATGCCTCATGGCAAAACAGGACATTAACAGCGAGAGGAAGGAATTGCTGGGGACCAGGGGCAGGAGGAGGCAGTTTGGCGGGGGCATCTGCTTCCTACACATCCTGCCTGCCTGGGAAGGGCTGTTCCGCCCTTCCTCTCCACACCTTCCTCTCCTCTCCTCACTCTCTGCTCTTCTCCGGAAATTTTTACTTCGTGACCTCCATCCCCTCTTCCTCCACAAGAGAACTCTTCAACTTCGGTCTCTTTCCGGAAAGTCTTACCCTCTCACCAATAGGGAGCTCATCTCCAGAACCATCTCTATCTCCTTTCCTCACCCAAGTCTCTCGCTTCCCCAGCTCTGGGTCCTTCTCTCCAGGGATCCTCTGCTTCAACCTCTTCTGTCCCATTTCGGGATGCTCATCTCCTGGGACTGTCCCTTCCGGGCCTCACTCCCAGTCCCTCCTGTCCCTTCCAGGACTCTCCTTTCCCTAAGGTCCCTCCTTTCCCCTGCGGACACACTTCTCGGCGCCTCCAGTCCCTTCTGGGACTCTCACCTCCCGGTCCCTCCTGCCCCTTCCTCCCCTGCTCTACTGGGACACTCCTCTGCCCTCCTGGGCGCTCACCTCCAGCCTCTGTCTCCTCTCCGGTGCTCTCCTCTCACCCTTCCTCTCTGGGAGCCTGGCTCTTTCACACTCCTGCCCCAGCGGCTCCACCTGTCTGACTAGATCTGGCAGCAGCTCCGCCCTCCAGCCACCCCCGCTGCACCGCACATGGGATGGAGGGTGGGTCCAGGCCACAGGTCAGTGCCTGGAGGAGCAGTGCCCATGAGGATTGAGAAAGCCAAGGAAGGGCCGTACTCAACCACCCATCCACCCTAAACCAGCCCGATGGGCTGAGGTTCTAGGTTTTGAGCCACAAACCTCCAGGGGCTCAAGCCCCAGCCCAAACCTTCACCCAAAGAGAGCTGCAGAAAACCCATGCCCAGCATCTTCTCCTAAGCTAACTGTAAATTCTCAGTTTGTCCTACTTCAGAATGGGCACAATTACCCTTCTCTGCCAGGGAGGGGCAGGAAAGCCAGTGGCATGTGAGGAGGTGGGGGAGTGGGGGAGGTCTCAGGAATCTTCCCCTCCCTCAGGGAGGGGTCTAATGAGCTAGGCTCTCTCCCCCTCAGAACCTGAAGGAATGTCGGGGGAGGGCTCAGGGGGAGACAAAAGCTGGCCGGAGGGGAGCCTGGGACTCTGAGGCGTCCCAGAGGGATAAGGCAGTCCCTGAACAGCCAGGGCAGCAGATGCTGTCTGCACTCTAGTCAGCCAGTTTCCTTCTATCCAGAGAGCGACCTGTGCAGGTACTGACTGAAGAACACACCTGACACATTCACGGAGGCTGTACACACGCCCCTCACGCACAATCACTGGGCACATATCTCACGGATGTTCCCTCAGCCCCCATGTCAACCCCCAACGGCCCATCATGGTTAGGCCCAAGTCCTCCCATCCACACACCTTGTCACACAGCTCCCACCACCCCCAAAGACAAACTCACAATGGCTAGCACACATGTACACAGAGCCCACAACCTCCTGCTGGCAACAACTGCCCTCCTCTGACACACCATCCAAACAAGCCTCCATGGACTCTTGACATGCATAGTTCCCAGTAACTCAGACTTGCTCCAAAACACATTCACACTGGCGAACACACCCCACACATCCTCCCTTACAGGTCCCGCAATACCCCGTGAAAATGCTTATGCTCACACACAGGTGTACTCACATGTATGTGAGTCACAGATAAATGTGGTCACATAAACTCATACAGCCCACTTAGAGGGGAGTGAATATCAAATCACCCATACCACAGGCAAACGCACACCTGCCCTTGATCATACATACAGATCTCTTTTCACAGATGACAACCATCATTCATTCATTCATTCATTCATTCACAATCAGATTGCTGGTTGTCTACTCTGTTGTAGGGACTAACCCTGGAGGCATAGCATGCGCTATAACACACAGTTCCTCCCTGACCCATGTGAGTGTGCCAGCTTGTTATCTCTCTCAACCACCACCCCCAAGTTCACCACACACATGCACACACGCATGCACCCTGGAGGTCAGGAGTGGCTCAAGGCTTCTGGGAAGGACCTCTCTCGGAGCTTGAGAATCTGGGTGTGTCCCCGGTAGGGGAACTCAGACCCGTCTGTCCTTCCTTTAAGATGGATGGAAGGGAAGAGGAGACAGGCAAAGGAAGGGGGAGGGGAAGGGAGGAGGGAAGCGAAGGGAGGGGAGGAGAGGGCGGGGACAAGAAACGAGAGGGGTAAGACCAGGAGGAGGTGGGGTAAGGCCTAGGTTTGAGTAAATGGGGGCCGGGACAGGAGGGAGGTTGTTGGAGAGGCCCAGCCCCAGAGAACTGGGACCTCCCACCCACTCTCCCCAAGAACAGCCTCGCCCACAGCCTGGGCAGGAGAGGGCAGGGCTGAGCCGGGCCACACAGACAGGGGGCCCGGGCAAGTGGAGCGCCTGCCCAGGACGGTCCAGACTCACCAGTCGGGGGCCAGGCGGGCAGCAATGGAGGGCTCAGAGGGAGCAGGGCCAGAGAGAAGTCCCCAGGGCCAGCCTGCCTGCCACTTCCTCATCTGCTGGGCCGACTTTCTG